GTAAAGGGGATTTGAAGCCAGCTTGTTTCTAAAAGAAAATAACAATAACAAAAACACCAAAAATGCTTATATCAGTAATATTTGTAATGGAAGAAAACTGGAAACAACCCAAATACCTAACCCCTATCAACTAAAAATAAATAAACTAGAATATTTTACGTGGGCCATACTATACAACTGTGGAAATAAATAAAGTACACAGCTATTTAGGACAGTGTGATAAATGTCACAAATGTCAACGTGAGCAGGGGCCGCGAGTGACACAGCTCTGGGTTCCTCCCAACAGCCCAAGAGTTCCCTTAGCTCTTGGAGCCCTCAGAACAGGTAAAGCTGGACACATCCTTGGCTCCTCTGTGGAAAAGAACTTCAGGACTAGCTAGTACGAAGCCAAATGAGGTTTGTTAAGGATATTTTAGTATAGATTTAAGGGTGAGGATTAGGAGAAAGAGAGACATTCAGAAAGAGGGGCCCACCCCAGAGTACGGTGTGGTCTTTACAAAGCAGTAGCTTGCTCCACTGTCTTCATGGTGGCCACACATAGGATTTTGGTTGTGTTTAAAGCTATTATCTCCAAAGAGCTATTCTGGACTCTAAATGAGACCCCAGAGTGGTTCCAGGGTTTCTGACAGGATGACAAATCAATACTGTTTACAAAGGGAGCCAAGCAGTTGAAGAGTTGATTCGAAAGGACACAAGTTTGATTCCCAGCACCCACATGGTAGGTCACAACCATCTGTAAATTCAATTCCAGGGGATTTGACACCCTCTCTGACCTTCAGGAGTACCAGGCATGCAGAGACAGACATGCAGATAAACCCCATACAAATAAAACAAAACAAAAACCCACAAATTGTTAAAAGGCCAAAATATAAAGTTACCATTACTGTAAACCAAGCTTATAGTCTTGTTTGGGATCCCCAGAACATGTCTTCAAAAAAGAAACAAAGCCCAGCCAAGGTCATATACCTTGCAGGTCTTAGCTCTTTGCTTTTTTTTTTTAAAAAAAATATTTATTTATTTGCTCATTATATGTACAGTATTCTTTCTTCAGTCCAGAAGAGGGCACCAGGGTTTATTACAGATGGTTGTGAGCCACCATGTGGTTGACTGGGAATTGAACTCAGGACCTTTGGAAGAGTAGGCAATGTTCTTAACCTCTGAGCCATCTCACCAGCCCCCAGCTCTTTGCTTTTTTAATGAAAAATGTCTACATGCAGAGGACTGGCATCTTTATTTCTGCAGCTCTTACAGAAATGCTAGTTGTACTAAAGTTTGTTTCTCAGCTGTTGAGAAGCTTCACTCAGACTCTGGGATGGGGGCTCCTTTCCTGAACCCCCCATTTTCCTCATCCTTCCTATCCTGCTTCATACATAAAGAGAGGAAAATTTGTATGCTCCATTTATTTCAGGAGGAATCTATAGTTAAAAGCTGAGTGAGTGGTCACAGCTGACAGCCTCAGGGGGTCCCAGGAGGGTCCTCAACAGCTCCACCAGGCTCTGCTTCCTTTCTTCCTTCCTTCTCTTCTGTGTCTCTCTTTTTATCTTTTGTTTTTGTTGTTGTTTGGTTTTTCAAGACAGGGTTTCTCTGTGTGGCCCTGGCTGTCTTGGAACTCAGTTTGTAGACCAGGCTGGCCTCTAACTCAAAGCTCTGCCTGCCTTGGTCTCCTGAGTGCTGGGATTAAAGGTGTGTGCTACCATCACTGCCTGGCCTAAATGCTAATTCTTAAGAAAGAATAAAGTCAGGCTTGGTGGTTCGTGGCACTTGGGAGGCAGAGGCAGGAGGATTGCTGTAAATTCTAAGCTAGCCTGGTCTATATAGTGACAATCTGTCTGTTCCTCCCCTTTCCAGATCTAGGAGTGGTAGAATGTGGCTATAATTCTGTAATACAAGAGGTGAGGCAGGAGAGGCAGGAGTTTGAGACAAGGGTGGGCTATGTAGGATTCTGGTTTTATTTTGTTTTGTTTTTTTAAGGCAATCAAACACACTCATGTAAACACCCACACAAAGAAAGAAAGAAGAAAGAGAAGGAAGGAAAAGACTGCAGTAGCACGAGCCCAATTGTATTTGGGAGGTGGGGACCAGCAGTCTGGGCTACTGCACAAGGTCTTCTCTCAGAACAAACTCAGTGGCAGAATGCTTGCCTAGCATGTGCACCATGAACAAAAGGCATGCAAGGAGGAATAAAGGGAAGGAAAAAATAGAAGAGTGAAGGGGCTGGGGGAGAGAAACACTGAGCCTCTTGCTTCCAGGTTGACGTCTTAACCATCAGAACCATGGACAGAGCCAAGGCTGCCCTTAACGGACCCCAGACCAGGGCTGGGGGAGATAAAGGGGTTTCCCGTCTCACAGAGGTGACTCACCTCAGGAAAGACTATTTGGACCTGCCTCTGGATGAGGGCTTGTCTGTGCCCTTGGGGCAGTCCCCACCCAGCAGCCAGGAGAGAATTCCCCGGGGAAAGGGGTCTGTAGCCCCTTGTCTTTTTAAATCTGTGAATGCTGAAGTCTCCCTAGGGAGGCTCGCCCTGGGTCGCACAGATCCAGTGACTGTCCACAGTCGAAGACTTTTCTTCCTGTCCATCATAGGCTTGTGTTTATCTGGCATGGAAGAACATGGCAGAGACACCCAAATTATTTAGAAGCTCAGGCATAGCCAGACCCCTGGCCCTATGTGCCATGGGCACGTCTGAGCCATTGCAGGGAGCAGTATAGGCGGGAAAACCAGACAGGAAGTAGAGGTGGAGCAAAGAGACTGGGAGTATTCTGGGAAGTAGGAAGCTCCCTGCAGTTCTGCCCAGACCACCAGATAGGAAAGATGTAAGCTGCCCCGCTGGAAAAGGTACTGAGCCATGTGGCTAACATAGATGAGAATAATGGGTTAATATAAGCTATAAGAGTTAACAAGAAGCCTTAGCTAATGGGCCAGTCAGTTTATAACCTTATGGAGTCCAGTGTGTGATTTTCTTTGGGGTTTGCCGACTTGTTGGGGTGTCGGGTGGGACAGAAACCCCAACAAGCTGGCCCTCATGTTCCAAAGAGCTTTCTCCTGGTATGGGGGAGTGGGAGGGGGGAGGGAGGAGGGTGGATTTCCTGGCCGTTGCTCATCTTTTTAGGAATTTCACATTCTGCCTTCTGTCCTATGCAGCTACCACCTGTAGTAACCAGTTCCACTACTCAACTACCCACAAAGGCAGCCAGGTCCTGGAGAGAGCCTCAGATCAGCTGGAGGCCATGGTAAGCAGCCCTCTGCCTCCCCGTCCCTTCTCTAAGTCATACATCTCCCACCTGGGTGGCCAGCAGGTTTTACCCACGTACAGTGACCCAGATAGTCTGACACAGAGAGGGAGTGATGTGCGGGCTGACAGATAACAGTCTATCCTTGGAGACGCTCTGCCCCATACCCAGGATGCCTTTCCGAGCCAGTCAGCTTTGCTCCCAGTGGCCCTGCCAGGCTCTAGTCTGGCCTGCTGGCTTCCCTGAGTTGAAGGCTGTTGCTGGGCAAGGAAGGGACCCTGGGAAGCCCAAAGGGAGATGGGGAGGGGTTGGGGAGGGGTCTTAGGTGTGGTGGGAAATGAAGCTATTGATTAAGTAGCCCCTCCCTCAGCTCTAGGAACCCAAGAGCTACAGAGGCAGCAGGGGTTCTTAAAGGAGACATGCCCTGTCTTGACCCCTCCCCTTCCAAGAGGATCTCAAGTCTTCAGGGTGTTTCACCCTTCCTCCCTTTCCATGGACAGGAGAAACAACCAGGCTGGGGTCAGGCTTCAAGGAGAAGGGCTAGCAGGCTGGTCTTGAATTCAGATCTACCTGTATCAGCTTCTCTCTCTGGGGTTAGAGGTGCACCACCGTGACCAGCCTTCTGGTTCTGTTTGTTTGTTGTTGGTAGAGACAGGGTCTCCTGTATCTCAGGCTGTCCTCAAATTCCTGAGGATGACCTTGAACTTCTGACCCTTCACTGCTGAGTGCCAGGATTACAGGGGAGCTCCAGCACAGACGAGTGCACCTGCTGGAGCCTTGTACATGGCAGACAAGCACTCTACCAGCTGAGACACGTCCCAGGCCTTGATGTCCTCTGTAGATGAAACATGTCCACCCCCTGAGATTCAGTTTCTGTTCCCTAAACCAGTAGCTGCTTAATTGCTCTGAATACGAAAATGAGACGCGTGAAATAAAGAGGGGGGGAGGGAGTCTGTAGAGAATGGCAGATTAAACAGAGAAATGTAGAGTTTGGACAGCATGAGGCCAGGGGTCATCTCCCACAGAGGTAGGCCCATCATCACCAACCCAGCATACCCTGCGTACACGTGGATGCCCAATTACCTAATGATTCACAACACGAAACTTGGGCAACAGGAAGTGCGATAGCACAGACTCATGACTGATGGTGTATCTGCCTCCATAAATCCTTCCATCTCCTGGGCGCTTTAAAATCGGAACATGGAAGACCTGCCTTAGGGTGTGGCAAGGAGGATTAAAAGAGAGCATACCGCAGGGCTCTGCACAACGCCGGGCACACAGTAGATGCCATAAAGTGGCGTGGACCTGGCTGGACCGTGCCCAGCATCGAGTAGGTGGGCGGGGGAGTAATTCATGAACAAATCTCAGAGTAAAACGTGCCTGGGGGTCCGGGCCATTATGGACTTGTGCGGTCCTGTAAAAACTAAGCAAGGCAGACCGCGACCTAACTCAGTAAAGGCACTCACAGGATAACCCTGATGGCCTGAGTTCAATTCCCAGAACCCACATGGTGGGAGGAAGAGAAATGCCTCCTCCTGTAAATCGTGTTTTACACACACACCAAAAAAAGAGCCCTTCACAGCACCCTGCAACCACCTCAGAGACTATAAATGCTCCGATAGGTCATAAGGCTGCATGTAAGGCCCGGAGATTGTGTGTGCTTTGCATAGCGTTTAGATTTTGCGGAATCCCACCAGGCCTCAAACCTGCGCATGTGCAGAAGATCTGGCGGGAAAGTCCCGAGGCTGCGCTTGCGCAGACATTTGTCTCGAGGCCGAGTTCAGAGATGGACTAGAGCGTAGTTCGTAGTCTGAAGTCTGGGATCGGCGCTCTCTCTGAGAAAAGGTTTCTGAGCGGGAACTCAAGCGTGGCCTGCGAGTGCCAAAGTGTGGCCTGGCCGAGCTGGGCGCTTCGAGCTGAGGTAACCGGGACTCCCTGGAGCGCGGCTTTGAGGGAAGTTTCTGGGCCCCGGCCCCACTCCTCAGCCTCTGTAGATCCCTTCTCTGTGAGGTCACCTTCTCGGCCCAGCTTAAAGACTGTCCTGCTTGCCGTGAGTGGGCTGTGCTACTGTCCGGCCTCCAAGTGGAGGCGCGGGTGGGGTAGGGAGCTGGTCTGCAGTGAGGGGGAAATGGCGGCCTTGAGCACTGCCGCCCCCCCCCCCCCATCTCAGCCAGCCTCCGGACTCCTGACTCCAGAGGGTGGCCATCTCAGGTGACCTTGTCTTCGGGGCTGTTGAGGACTGTTCTACCCCAGCACACCTAAGGCTGTGCCACGTGGCCCACGGCACCAGTTCAGCTTTTCAAGGTCCCCAGCTTCCCCTCAGGCAACCCTTCTGCACAAAAATTTCCAGATAATCAAAGTGTTCATCCTAATTCATAACCACCCCCTGCCATAACCCCCCCCCAAAAACAAAACCCACAGGACTTCTTCCTGTCACAGATAGTTTTGTTGTTGTTGTTCTTTATTTTTCTTTATTCACATTTTTTGGGTTTTTTTTTTTTTTGCATTTGCGTTGTTTTGGAGTCTCATGGAGAACAGGGTCTTCTAAAGCTCTATTGGCCTGAAACTCATCATATAGCTAAGGATGACCTTGAACTTAATGATTCTCCTGCCTCTACCCCCTAAGTAGTAGGATGAGAAGCGTGGGCTACTGACATATTCTCTGGGGCTGGAGAGATGGCTGGCTCAGCAATGAAGAGCACAGGCTGTTCTTCCAGAGGACCCAGGTTTGATTCTGAGTACCCTTGGGGGAGGGTCACAGCTATCAGTAACTCCAGTTCCAGGGGATCTGATGTCCTTTTCTGGCCTCTGTGGGCACCAAGCTCGATGTGGGCACAGAAACACACAGAGACAAAATACCCATACACACAAAATAATAAAATGATAGCAAAAAGAATGATATTTAAAGAAAAAAAACAAAGAGCTTATTTTCCAAGACTCCCTGTTTTCCCCAGGAAGAGCATGTGTATATCTTCAGTTTGGTAGGTGTTTGAGTAACTGGGTATCTCTCTTGGTTTGCTTTTTTTAAAACAATTATTTTTTTCCATTTTCACGTGCATGTGGTGTGCTTGTGTATTCACATGTGCAATAGGTGTGAGGTTGATGTTGGAATTAGCCTCCATTACTCTTCACCTCATTAATTGAGGCGGAGTCTCTCAGTCAAACCAAGAGCTTGTCAATACAATTAGTCTTTCTAGTCAGCTTACACCTGAGAGCCCCGTCTCTGCCTTCTGAGGCTGAAATTACAAGCCACTGGCATTTTCGTGGGTGCTGGAGACTAACTCCGGTCCTCATACTTGCTTGGCAAACACTTTAACCCTTGAGCCATCTTCCCAGATCTCTTTCCTGTTCTGAGACAGGATCTGACTCTTGAGCCCAAGCAACCATCAAACTTAATAGTTCTCCTTCATCCTCCTGAGTGTTAGGGCTACAGGTGTGAAACATGACACATGACCATGGCAGTCATCCTAACTGCTCCATTTCCTTCACCTTGTCAAGTTACCAAATCGTGAATGGGTATTTTTCTTTTTTTTTTTCTTTTTTGTTTTTCAAGACAGGGTTTCTCTGTAGCTTTGGAGCCTGTCCTGGAACTAGCTCTTGTAGACCAGACTGGCCTCAAGCTCACAGAGATCCACCTGCCTCTGCCTCCCGAGTGCTGGGATTAAAGGCATGCACCCAACCACCGCCCGGCATGTTTTTCAAGTCACTCTACATTTCAGATCTACTTTTTTTTTTCTTGGTTTTTTGTTTGTTTGGTTGGTTGGTTGGTTTTTGGTGTTTTGAGACAGTGTTTCTCTGTATAGCCCTAGATGTCCTGAAACTCATTCTGTAGACCACGCTAGCCTCGAACTCAGAGGCTCACCTGCCTCTGCCTCCCCAGTACTGGGATTAAAGGCGTGAGCCACCACCACCCAGCTTCAGCTATTTTTATCACTAAAGATCATTAACTTCTGTCTGGAGCTACAAATGTCTCCTTAATCTGATCTTTTTCATTTTCTGTGTTCCAGGTTGTCTTAGTTACTGTTCTATTGCTGTGAAGAGACACCATGACCAAGGCAACTCTTAGAAAGGAAAGCATTTAATTGGGGGTTTGTTTACAGTTTCAGAGGGTTAGTCCATTTTCATGGTGGGGAGCATGGTGGCAGACAGGCTTGATGCTGGAGAAGTAGCTGAGAGCTAAATCCTGATCCACAGGCAGCAGGCCAAGAAAGATACACTGGGGCTGGTGTGGGCTTTTGAAATCTCAAAGCCCACCCGCAACAACACAATTATTCCAAGGCCACACCTACTCCAATAAGGCTACACGTCCTAATTCTTCTTACCCTTCTCAAACAGTTTGCCAACTGCAGATCAAGCCTTTTAATATATGAGCCTATAGAGGCCATTCTCATTCAAACCACCACACCATACAAGTTTTTTTTTCCCCCCAACATTACAACCAGTAAACTGTACAGCAGTAATTACAGAACTTGCAAGGTAGAGGCAAGAGAATCAGGAGTTCAAGATCATCCTTAGGTTCAGTTAAAGGCCAGCCAGGGTTACTAGAGAATCTGTGTCAAAACAACAAAGCAAAGCAAAATCAACCATCTAGTGTGTGTGTGTGTGTGTGTGTGTGTGTGTGTATGTTACACATGTTACTATGAGGGTGTGCACAGATGTACAAGGACATGTGTATGCAGAGGCCAGAGGTTTTTATGATGCCCTTCAATGCTTTCTTTCTGATTTAGCATAGGCTCTATGATCCATAACCATCCTCATAAGGAAGGTCCTTGTCCCTTCTCTACCCTTCCTCCCTGGATGATCTCATCTCTTCTGACAAGTGCCACTGAAACACTGATGCCTGCCGTTACGTTTCCATCCTTGCACAGGAGGACACGACCTCCTCAGCACAACCTCAGAAACAAAACTATGGGCTCCATCTCCCAGAACCCTTTCTCCCGAGGCCTCAGGAAAGAGGAAGCACCATGCTTACCCAGTTTCCAAAAGCCATCCTCAATTCGCATTTCCAGCCCTTCCAGGAAGGCAAAGCCCATCTCTAGTCCATTTGTTCACTACGGATGCTGCAGAGCTTTCTGCTGGAGTGGCAGCAGCATTCTGACTGGCCGCTCGGCTTCTGCACTTGTGTTTCGTCCTTTTCATCTTAGCCAGATACCAAAATCCCCAAAGCAGGGCCAGTGAGATGGTTCGGTGGGTAAAGTGACTTCTGCTAACCCTGATAGCTAAGTCTCACCTAGGGGTTCCACTTGGCAGAACTGACCTCTGTGTTTGCTGTGGCACATGCACACCGACAAACAAAATTTTAAAAACACTGTGAGATTAAAAGTGTGTGTCACTATACGTGGCTGCTTGCCTAGTCTTAACTTTGTCCAAATCAGATGGCCTCATGGCAGACCCATTGTTTGTGTGTGTGTGTGTGTGTGTGTGTGTGTGTGTGGTAGAGATAGAACCTGGGTTTTTATGCATGCTAAGCAATCCTCTACAATTGAGCCTTTGTTTCCATACACTTACAATTTGAGACCACATTTCACTAAATTGCCTAGGTCGACCTTGAACCCAGTCTATATCCCCATCAGGTCTTGAACTTGGAACCTGTGTCAGCCTCTAGTAGCTGAGATTATAGGCTTATGTTTCCTATGAGTGTTTTCAAGTCTATCTTCATAAACTTTGTGAGTACACTTATTATATCCCAAATCTCACCAAAATACTTCAGATTCCCTGAGTGAAATTTTCTTTCCTTATATAAAAAGTTTTTGTTTCATTGTCTTTTCTTTGTTAAGACAGAGTTTTGCTGTGTAGCCCAGCTGACTTTGAATTTGCAACAGTTCTCCTACTTCAGCTTCCTCAGTGCTAGAATTGCAGTTGGGAGGTACCACACCCAGCTTCAGTTTTCATATTAACTTAATTTCCTCAGAGTCTACCATTGTTTCATGCCAAGAACAAAGATGTATATTTTGGGAGCTTTCTTTCGCACTTCCTTGGTCCTGTCTTCTGCCTCTAAGGCCCTTGAGTTATATATCTCAGAGACACAGGGCCTATAGCCCAGCATTGTAACAGAAGCTTTCTCTTGCAATCTTGCCCTTCAAAATCAGCAGACTCTGCCTCACGTTCTTTTGTAATGTTATAGTTTGTAGCTTTAAGCAGTGGGCCCAGTTGGTGTAATAAAAAATAAAGCAGCCCCTATTACCTGTAGTTTCCATCCAGATGATTTTAGGCTCCTGGGATAGGTAGAATCTTGAGAGTGCTGCAGAGAATCAGTGCAATATGAGTGCTAACTCAGGTGGTCACCATGTCACAGGCCACCAGTGGTGGGTGGCAAATGCTCCACACATACATACATTGGAAGAGTCACATCAGCAGCTTGGTTCGGTTAGGAGAGGCCAAGCTCCTTGGAAGGGAGCTCATCTATGACCCTTACAGGTTTCAGAACCAGGTGTGTAAAATGAGGACATGACTGGTCAAGGGGAAGGTTTTTATTGTAGCTATAAAGGAGAGTACAGCCACAGGAAGTAGACTAGACGTGACCAGTAGACTGAACCAGGCCATGTGAGGAGAGAGGAGGGCGGGGAGATCAAGAGGGCCAAAAGGACCAAGAGAGGGCATGGCCCAAGTGGAAGGGTTGTACGGGAAAGGAAAACCTATGAGCTGGAGACTATTAGGGCAGGGTGAGAAACTGAGAGGAGCCAGGATGTCAACATGTTCTTTGGTGTGCTAATAGGCACCACAATTAGCCTTTTGTTCTGGCTCTTTTGGGCCTGACATTGGGCAGGGCAGAGAGATGAGAAAATACTGTTTTCTAGAATAGGAGCACAGTCCTGGGTCTGTTGAGCAGAGGCAGTCTCTATTAGCTCTCAGTAGGGCTAAGGGAGATGTGGAGGATGCACTCAGGTGCAATGAGGAATTTAAGAGTTTAACTTTGAGGAC